ATCCTCCTAGGGCTCCAATTAGGGGTAGATTAAAATTTTTTTATGGAGGCAGTTGGGTTGAAACATGAAAAGAGATTATGCAAGAGGTATGGAGGAATACAAAGAAGAAAGGAGATGGTGGAGTTGTTAGGGTTGAGAAGTTGAAGATGCCGATTTTTGAGGGGGAAGAAGCACATGGGTGAGTGTATCGGGCGGTTCGATATTTTGCAGTGACTGTGCTAGATGGGGAGGAGAAACTCATGGTTGCAATATTATGTTTGGAGGGGAAAACCCTAACTTGGTTTTAGTGGAGGGAGGCTAGATATCCGATCCGTTCATGGGAGGAATTTAAGGATTGTTTGTTGGAATATTTCCGAGCCATTCAAGAAGGAGACCTACACGAGCAATTCTTTGCCTTGACGCAGAAGGGGATTGTTATGGAGTATAGGGAGAGATTTGAGCTACTGTCAAGAAGGCAGAGGTAGATCCAAAAAGTCTTCGTCATATTGTATAAAAAATGATCTTAATTTATTAGAATTAAATGAAAATATGACACTCAATAGGTCGCAATGGAGAAAAGGGATTCATGGGGATTCATGTAGCCAACCCCACCCCACTTAGTGGGATAAAAGTTTTTTGTTGTTGTTGTATTGCAATTTTTCATAATGATCATTCTAAAGGATTTTAAAATGAGAAGTTTGAAAAAATTTTGTTGAGATATTGATTGATACCAGGGTTAACCCAAATCACAATAGACATGAAAATATTTTTGTGGTAATTCAAAAGGAATTACAAGCAAATACTCTTAAACTTAGGAAAAATAACAATACAACATAGACAACACCCGACGGTGAGGGCGCAGAGTGGCAAGTTGCGGCTGAGGTAGTGAGATTCGGAAATTTGTAGGTGAGGGATAAGGCTGGACGGTGGAGGTTGCAAGAAAAAAGTATGGGAGATGTAGGCGATAGCAATAGTGGAAGGTCTAGGGAGGGGCGGTTGGACAATAACTCGCAGCCGTAGGCGGAAGGATGTAGATAGACAATAGGTAACAGGGGCTTGGAGGGGATTACGGTGCAGGGTGGTGGCTGGATAGCAGCTAGCAGTAGTAGATGGAATAAGGTACGGCTGGATCACAGGTGCCAGGGGTTCTGGATGTGATTACGGTGCAAGGAAGGCTGTTGGACAACGGGTTGAAGTGCAGGAAAGGTGTTTTGGTAACAGGTTATGAGGTTGGAGGAGTTGCGAGGCAGCAGGGAAGGATCACTAGGGATGGAGGTTGGAAAACAGGAATAGGTAGTTTCTTATGGTGGAGGGGAGCGTGCGGGTGAGGGGAATAAGGAAAGATACACACCACTTCGGGATAAGTTTTAACGGAGCACATTCTCACCGTCAAATATAGTCCTAGAATGAAAAAGATTACTTCTGCAGCTGTCATGACAGAAACACTCAGCAAAAACTAACGCTAAACACAACAAACGACCTATTTATAATAAAAAGATAACCAGGGGGGTTCCCTTTTGGGTGGAAACACAGTTCCCACCCTAATTAGTTTCGGTCGATGCAGCCTCCCTGCTGATCCGACAGACCCTAGCTGAACCTAGGCCTGGTTCAGCCTCAGCAGCCCCAACATTACTGATATAAAACATAATTTTTCAGCACCTGGGACACAAGAATAAAATGTGATGAATTAAAAATAGAACTCTTCTAGAAGCTGTTAGATCAATTTTCAGTGAGTATAAACTTCCTAAATATTTTTGAACTAAAGCAATAAATACGATTTATTTTGTGTTGAGTAGAGTAAATGTGAGACATAAGCTAAATAAAATACTATATAGGTTATTAAAAGGAATAAGTTGAAATTTTTTTTATTTACATTTCTTTTAATGCAAATGCTTTGTTTTAAATAATGAAAAAACTAACTTTGAGAAATTTGATGTTAAATCGGATGAAACTATTTTCTTAAAATACTTAGTAGAAAAAACATGTATGATTTTTAACAAGATAACAGTAGTAGCAGAATAGTCTACTTATGTTGCCTTAGCAGAAGAGTCTACTTTTGTGTCTTTGGTGAATCAAATCCTTTCATTCCACTTGTAGATATAAAAAAGACGAGGAAATAATGACAGATTTATTAAAAAATTTGGGATTAGAAGAACAGAATAATAAGAGTTAAATATCATCTAGAGAATGGAGATATTTCTCGAGTCATCCCGGAGATATTGTCATAGGAGATCCATTAGTTGGTGTCAGGACTAGAAACGGTCTAAGACAAGAAGTTAGTCGGACTACATTCGTTTCCTTGATTGAACCTACCAATATAAATGATATTCTAGCTGATGGATTTTGGATTAGTGCTATGTAGGAAGTGCTAAATCAATTCAGGAATGATATTGGGTGCTGGTGACTAGGCCAACTGATCAGAGTATAATTGGTGCTGAAAGGGTTTTAAAAAATAAGTTAAATGAATCTTGGTCAGTTGTAAGAAATAAGGCTATAGATTATTGGCCAAAGAATACAATCAAGTTGAATGAATATATTTTGAGGAGGCCTTTGCTCTCGTAGCCAGCCTAAAAGTCATCAAATTATTATTAACTTATTCATGTTTTAAAGTTTTAAAGTGTCCATCAAATTATTATTAACTTATTCATGTTTTAAAGTTTTAAAGTGTCCATCAAATTATTATTAACTTATTCATGTTTTAAAGTTTTAAAGTGGATGTTATGAGCATTTTTCTGAATGGTGTAGTTTAGGAGGAATGTTCTCTGTTTGTAAAAGGTTCAATTAACACCACTCTGTTCATAAAAAAGACTAATAAGGAGGTTTTTGTTGTTCAAATATATGTGGATGATATTCTTTTTGGATCGGCCAATAGATTAATGTGTGAAGATTTCACTTCAATTATTAGTCAGGAATTTGAAATGAATATGATGAGAAAATTGACTTATTTCTTAGGCTTTAATGTGAAACAAATAAAAGAGGTAACTTTTCAGAGTCAAACCAAGTATACTAAAGAATTGAATAAAAAAATTGACATGGAAGAATATAAGAGTGCAAACACCACTACGAGCCCTTCAACTCAGATTGATAAGAATCCGAATGGAAAAGGCATATACCCTAAAAAATATTGATGGATGATAGATTCATTATTATATTTGACAGTTAGTCAACCTGACATTAGGCTTAGTGTATGCTTCTGCACATGCTTTCAATCCAACCTAAAGAGTCACACCTAGTGGCATTAAAAATAAACTTTAAGTATTTTATAGGATCTTCTAGATTAAGAATTTGATGTCACAGGAATAGTTTATTTTTTGATATAGTTATGTATCAAGTCTCTAATTTTGCTGGATGTATCAACACTTTAAGAATTTGCCAATTCATTGGACACTCCTTAGTTTCCTAGTCTTGCATAAAACAAATGTTCAGGGTGAAAGTGCCAATAGTTCCTAAAGTAAACCTAATGCTATGTCGTGCTCTGGAGATAACCAAATTTTAGCCAACGCTTTTCTGAGATCTAATTGATGCCACCACAATAAGAACTAGGATGAAATGCTCCTCGCGCTACCTTGACTATTGTTAGTCTGACCATTTACACATCTTTTCCCTCAACATTAACCGTATTTATTATGGTTAATCTCTCTTGAAAAAAGAGGAACTTTTAAGTTTTTGTAACATCGTTTTTTCTGTTCTCCCTTTCTTAAAGGAATATCCTTTGTTTTTTGAATATTGTAAACTTCTGGTTTTTTATTGGCTTTAAAATTTATTCAGAAGTATACCTTCATTGTTTTGTTATAGTCTTTTCTATCTGTCTTCACACTATGCCGATCAAGGTTGCTGCCAGAAAAAATACGCAGTAGTGCTGTGGAGGAATAAAAGATGTATTTTTAAGAAACACTGTGCTTGACTGATTCAGTCCTTAGGATTTATTGTAGGTATAACTTCAAACTTTTACCTAGAAGGCTAATTCATGTTATTCTGCTTACGTATGGGAAAGTATGTTTCCATTTTGTCCCATATGAGCCTAAAAGTTTTATTATTGTTTTGATTTGCCTAACCTAAACTAAATTCCTGGGTATGAATCAATCCTTCGGCCTCGCTCACCAGGTTAGTCTGGGCATTTACATACATGTCACAAAATTCTTATGCATTTGCATATCTAACACCTAAACAATGATGTTTACAATTTACATGTATACCACTCAAATTTTTAACATAACATAAAAAATACCACCTTCACCATTGAAATAAACCTTTTCATGCATAGGTTTGACACCTATGTTTTATATGTGTAAATATCAAATTTGAAGTGTTAGATATATAAAACTTATGAATTGTGAGGTATGTATGTAAATTTCCCAATCTAATTTGCTGAAGTGTCATTGAGCTCTCACTCTACCTTAGTGCTGACATATCATGATCTATGGACAAGCTTCGACCTTTTATAACTAGAAAATACGCCTTCTTTTAAATTATTTCAGAATATGAAGAAGAGGCACAAGGTTGAACGGGAACTGAGCATCGGCGAGGAGGTCGGGTGGTCGAAAAATGTGGAAGTTGCAAAAGCGAATCCTAAGCTCGCAGCTATGAACAAGAAGTTTGGAGTGATACATGGTATTTCCTCTCTTGCAAATATTCTCTCCTTTGGCAGCCTAGCAATGCACTCTTGGTACCTGGCTGGTAAGATTAAACTGTAGAAATATTTAACGGTTGTGATTTATAATCTTATTTGATAACGTGATATTATGATCACTTATTTCATTCTGTTGGTGGAATGAACTTTACTGTATTTTAAAGGAGGCATGTCTTATTGTGCCTTTTCTTTCCAAACCAAATCATTGAAGCATTTTTGTCTTTTGTGGCATTTACATACATACCACACAATTCTCATGTATTTAAATGCCTAGCACCTAAACTTTCATATGTATAATCATAACATCCACATCCTTGATATCACATAAAAAATACCATTATTACTGATACACCATCAACAAATATTGCCATTAGCATGAATCTCGATGTGTTTGGCACGAATCTTTGAGTATTTTTTAAAATCATATAGGACTTCGATTTCAACAAACTTACAGTCAAATTGACCAAATGACACCAAAATTGATTCAATTTGAGTTAAATCAAGCACTGATCAAGCCGTTAAACAACTTTTGAAAGCTTTGGGTGGTCAATTAGAGAGTTAAATGGATTCCAAACCCGACAGGTTCATAGTAAAATCGAGCATTTCAATGAGATGAATCCAATGAGCCCAAGATCCATCACTTCCAACATCTTTAAAGCACAAAAATGTCTACAAAATGTCATATGATCCAACGATGCACCCTGAAGACTTTATAACGACACACCCCAAAATATGATGTAACAACGCACCATGAATTCGGTGTGACATACCCTTAATACGGAGTAACGAATGATGTCGCATTGAAGATCCAATGTAAACTCTCAACGACAGCAACTTACGACCACCATTCTCAGGATACTACGACTTTCTTCGAACTAATGAAGTTCTTTTCTCATAGTTCCCTTCTACGACTTTAGTGGCCAACTCTAACGCCCACACAGCTCCCAACTTCGATCTTTACGGCTTACGAATGTTATTGCAGCTCACCACTACGTCCTATGTGATTAATTACAACCATGTGACTCACAGCTCAGGCAGCTCTCAACTTCAACCATTGTGGCGATCATTATTGCAGCTCTTAACTTGGACCTCTATGACCTACGAATGTTAGTGCAACTCACCATCACGACCGATGTGACCAACTACAGTCTACGTTGCTCACAACTCATGTAACTCTAAACTTTAGCCTCTAGAACCTACAGATGTTATTGCAACTCCCAACCTCCATCTCTGTAGTCTGCGGATATTAGCTCATCACTACGACTTATGTGACCAACTTTAGCCTACGTGTCTCACAACTTATGGAGCTCTCAACTCCGGCCTTTGTGACGTACAATCATTAGTACGACTCTATACTACGACTTATATGGCCTACTACTGTCATTACAATCACTTCCTACGAGCTATGTGGTTAGCTGACACTCATGCAGGTACCAACTTGGGCCTATGTGGATTATAGACATTCTTGTAGCTCCCAACTCTGGCTTCTGTGGTCTACAAATGTTGCTGCAACTCACCACCACAGCCCATGTGACCAACTACGCCTTCTGTGGCTCACAACTCACGCAACTCCCAACTCCAGCCCTGACACTCATGCAGGTACCAACTTGGGCCTATGTTGTGGCTCACAACTCACGCAACTCCCAACTCCAGCCTTTATAGCCTACGAACATTACTGCAACTCTTAACTTGGTCTCTGTGGCATATGAATGTTATTGCAACTCATTCGACAACTTATGTGACCAACTACAACCTACATGGCTCACAGCTCTTGCAACTCCTAATTTCAGCCTCTGTGGCTTGCACATGTTATTGCAGCTCACCATAATAGCTTATGTGACCAATTACGAGCGACTTGGTTCGTAGATCACGTTGCTCCTAACTTCGACCTCTATGGCCTACAAACTTTTTTGCACTCCCAGCTCTAGCCTTTAAGAGCTACGAATGTTATTGTTGCTCTCAACTTTGGCATATATGACATACTAATGTTATTGCAACTCACCATCATGACCTATAAGACAAACTATGACCTACATTGTTCACATCACTCAGCTCCCAATTCTAGCCTTTGTGGCCTACGAACATATTGTAACTCACCATTACGATATATGTAACCAACTACGACTTACGTTTCTAATAGCTTATGTTGCTTCCAACTCCGGCCTCTGTTGTAGCTCCCAACTCTGGTTCTGTGGCCAACAGACATTATTTTAGGTTATCATTGTGGCCTATGTGACCAAATACAACCTACTTGGGTCACTGCTCATGTAGCTACTCTTTGGTCCCTGTGGCCTATGGACGTTATTACAGCTCACCACTACGGCCTATGTGACCAATTACAGACTATGTGATTCATAGCTCATGTAGCTTCCAACTCTGGCTTCTATGGCCTACGAACTTTATTATATTTCACCGTCATAGCCTATGTGACCAAATACAATCTATGTAGAGCTTTCAAGTCCGGCTTCTGTGGCCTACGAACGTTATTGTATCTTAGCAATACGGCTTATGTAGCTCACAACTCACGCAGCTCTAACTCTAGCCTTTATGACTTACATACGCTATTTTAGCTCTCAACTTCAGCATTTGTGACCAACAAACATTATTACAGGTCCCAAGCACAGCTTCTTTGGCCCAATGACATTATTTCAGCTCATCATTACGACCTATGAAACCAACTACGACCTACATGGCTTATAGCTCACGCAGCTCCCAACTCCAGCTCCTGTGTCCTACAGACATTATTGCTGCTCACCATTACGACATATGTGATCAACTATGATCTACGTGATTTACAACTCACATGGCTTCTAACTCCAGTCTCTATAGCCTATGAATGTTATTGCAGCTCACCACCACGACCTATGTGATCAATTATGACCTGCATGACTTACAACTTGTGTAGCTCCCAACTCTGGCCCCTGTGGCCTACGAACGTTATTATAGCTCACCACCACAAGCTTTGTCACCAATTACGGGCTATGTGACTCACAACTTACTCAGCTGCCAACTCCGGCCTCTATGGTATAAAGACGTTGTTGTAGCTCCCAACTTCAGTCTTTGAGGCCTATGTATTTCAATTTAACACCACAATCTATGTGAATAACTATGACCTACGTGGCTCACAGCTCATATAGCTCCCAATTCTGGCATTTGTGGCGTACAGACGTTATTGCAGCTCACCAACACAGCCTATGTGACCTGCTACGACCTACATGACTTACATCTCACACAATTCCCAACTTCAACTTTTATGGCCTATAGATGTTATTATAGCTCCTAACCTCGGTCACTGTGGCTTATAGATGCAGTTGCTAACTCGAAGCTTTGTGGCCTAGGACGTTATTGCAGTTCACTAATATGACGTATGTGGTTGATTGATGTCATTATAATTTTACTTTACAACCTCTGTGGTTAACCGACACTATCGCAACTAGCCACTACGACATACTTGACCAACTACGACCTACATGGCTCACAGCTCATGTCGCTTCCAACTAGGGCCTACGTGACAAACTTCTACTGTAGCTTTTTACGACAGTACTGGTCGCCAACTTACGCTATCACAACTCTTATACGGCCTTTGTGGCCAACCGACGTTTCTGAAGCAACCAATTACTAGAATGACTTTCAACTACGACCTCTACGACAAGTTGAGACTATTACAACCACTATGAACTACATTTGTTGTAGCCTATATACAACTATTGAAGTCGGATCACTATTGTACAATTCAATCTTTCTTAATTTAGGAGAAGAATGAACCTATATGCTCACAATTACATATTGGTTTACTTAAACTGGGCTAGATTCTATGATTTTTTTTTCCTCTTTAGGGTTTCCACATAAAAATCGTGGTGCTTGCTATTACTTCTTTATTATATGTGTGTGTGCTGGATTTTGGTACAATACTGAGACGCTAATTTATTACTCTACTGCTATGAATATTCAGACATGCAACAGTTTGGTGTCGTTTGTGGGAAACGAAGTCCCATTCGACACAATTTTCAAGTTAGTGAAGCTGAGCCCCTGCAACATTTTCAATGATACACATCACTCTGCTGGCAAAGATTGTCAAAGACTGTTCATCGTCTTGGTATCCATCAAAAGAGTAAAAGTCAATAAAAGATTAATTTGAATGAATTTTCAGGATGGGGATAATCTTTGCTATAGTTTTGAAGATTGTTCACATTTACGCCTCGAGCACGATTATGGTGTGGGCAGTCATCCCACGTCTCATTTAGACATCTACTCTTCAAGAGCCATTTTCTGAATGGAATTTTGGGGGGAGGGGGTGGTGGGGGGACTGCACAACAGTTAATGTCTCGAGTACGATTGTAGTGGGATAGTCTTCCTGCATCTTATTTAGACATCAAATCAACAAGAACTAGTTCTAGGTTGGGAGGCAGTCTTCATTGCAAACTTGAAAGATCGTTCACGTCAACATCTCGTGTACAATTGTGGGCTGCACAACAGTTAATGTCTTGAGTAAGATTGTAGTGGGATAGTCTTCCTGCATCTTATTTAGACATCAAATCAACAAGAACCAGTTCTAGGCTGGGAGGCAGTCTTCATTGCAAACTTGAAAGATCGTTCACGTTAACATTCACGTCAACATCTCGTGTACAATTGTGGTGGGGTAGTCACCCCTCATTCCTTTCGACATCAAGTCTATAGGAATCAACTCCATACTGGTCATCACAACTTCAAGAGGACACTCTTGTCAACATCAACGCCTGACCTAAGATTGTCCGGTCAGAGCGCTCCCTCAGATAGTGGAGTTCTTTCTCAACTCGATCAAGAAGCTAATCTCTTCAAGATTTAATACATTGGTTTCTTTATAGGCTCATGTGGAAAACACCCTCACCGAGGGACAACAAATTTTCAAAGAAACAACAGAAAAATCGCAAAATATTATCACGTTCTTATTTTCAAGAAAAAGATAGTCCATCTCGATCCACGACTTAGTCTCGAGAAATACAAAGCATCTCTGACACCTTATTCTTGACTTAATTGATCACAAATGAACTTGATTCAATATCTTTCATAGCAGTCAAGGGCTGTCAAGAGAAGCTTCAACTAATAGTATCAGATAGGTCAAAAATTCTTGTTGGATTTCATTCGACTTTGTTTATAACAGGTTAGCGCCGTCGAGTATGTTGAGCTATACAACCTAAGATGAGTGTTGCATGCTTTATGAATTGCATTTG